ACTTATTCAATGAAGGTGACTATTAACAAAACAAAGTGACAAAGACAACAAGAATCAAACAGCTGCTTTTGTTTGCATTAACTAACTGGGTGAAGCGTTGCTGAGGCTTTAAAGCCACAGTCATGTAACAGGAAGAACTTACAACTCTTGGGAAAACAACTGGGCCCCTGATGGGTTCTGATAGAGGTAATCAGATAAAAGTTAGAAGTACGCATCATTCAAATATGCAAAATACTATGAAGAGAACCCAAGCCCCTCCTATAAGAAATACTGGCCATAGTGCAGTATTAATCATAACACACCGAAGTGGCAAGAGAAGGGCGTGAATGCAGTGGACCGGTAAGAACCTGCTGCCACTGAACTTAAATGGCAAAAACCCATCCCTCTGCCTTCAGTGGCTGGCCAAAGTATTATATAGCTGAGTGACAGATGAGTGAATTTCTCATAATTTGTATTAGACCCAGATTCTGAAGAACTGACTGGTAGTCTATTAGATTTATTCCAGAAAGCACAACCCTTAACTGCAATTCTACTTGTTGTAGCAATTTGCTTTTGACTCTAAGCCGCATGTCCTTCACACTGTTACACTGCTACATACCACTAATGGTCCTATAAATAGTTTTTATAAACATAGCCATATTTATATTCTGACAATACATGTTCATACTGTTGCAAAGTATTACACAGCTCAGCCTTTAAACCTGAACCAGTAAGTAGGACCAGCCCAGGCAACACTTTTGGAGCAGTCTGTGTCTTCTGCATTTTTTATATTAACTGGAATGCCTCCTTCAGGGAAGCAGAGATAAAAGTAAACTCATAACTTTATCAGCTATTAATGCAAGAAAACTATAGGACTCTGGAAGAGGAAATATGATAAATTCTCTTCCATTCCTTCTGATCTTCTCCCCACTTGGAACAGGGGATCAAGCTCAAGCTAACCTGTTATTTACCTGTCTGTATTTCATGCACAAAAGTCAGCTATCACATAGAAATACACATTTACTCATACTCCTATTCAGATTGTTCAGATTAGTTCTTATCCCTGGTAATATCCTAGTCAAAGTTTCATGATCACTGCTGTATTTTTTTTTTTTTAGAATTCTTTTATCTTCCTTTTCTTGTTTACTTCTAGCTCTCCTGCCTCTATTAATTATACACATCAGCCATGTCTACAGCCTCATGATTCTCTTATTTGAGTCTACTAAATTAACTCCCCCTCATGCCCCCAACAGTTATTTGCTACTGATACCTCCTGCTTCAGCTCTGGCACTTTTACCCAAACTGCTAGAAATTTAGTCTTTCAGCATAGTTACACATCTGACCCACTTTGGAGGTAATACGAGATCCCATGTCTGATTAGTGGCTCTGGAGGAAGCAAGCAAAAGGTACATTTGGGATGTGACCTGTGTTACTACAGAAGACACCACATTGTTCTGAGCTTTGCAGAGTGTCACTGTGTCCATCTAAGTCTGATGAAATATATGATGAACTGAGGCCAGGTCATCATCCACCAAAAATGACAGAGATGACAGAAGGTACTTCTCATGGATGCTGAAATGTGGGGATTCAGCAGCATCATTGAACTATAGACCCTGTTCTAATCGCAGTCCAAACTGGTACACTTTGCATGTGCACTTTGACTATTTAGCATGCTTCTTTAATGTAGTTTCTACTCTCAATGTTATTAGAGCTCAGTATATATTCTGTCTCAGGACGATGGCACCATCTCAAAAATACAACTTTTTTTTTTTTCTTAAGCATATTATCTTACTATGTTTCTGGTGGATTCAAGTTACAGAAGATAGTGGCAATGCCAACAGCAGATGTTGGTTAAACACTGACAAACTTCTATGAGGACTGGGGTGTGGTAAGATGATCACTGGCCACTGTCTAAGAAGAATCAGTTCTTAGGTTAGAATTTCTGGATTATCTGGGTGAAAAATAAATAATGGATTGACCAGAAAGAGATTTGAATAGTATGGCAGAGCAGGTCAATGAAGATAGGCAGCTGAAAGCATTAAAAGGAAGTATCTCCCAGTAACTATTTTAGACTTTTCCTTATCTTTTCCTGTTTTAGTATCAAACTTACTATGTCAAAGAGAAGGAAAAGAACCTATCCTGATTCCAATATACACCACAGAAACAGAAAAAAAAAAAGTAGGAAACATCAATGAATTTTTACAATTCAGGCCTATCAATTAAAGGAAAGAATGATTACTATAAAAACCTCTGCTAGTCTTATATTTTTATCTATTATTAGTCACAAGATTAAAAAGTGCTGAGGCCAAAGATTTCTGACCTTGGAGAAAGATCTGTATTCCCAGAGCAAACCTAGCGGAGAACAGAAGCAGCTTCTACTTTGCATTTATATATGAGGAGATAGAAATGTGCACAACCTAACTAAGGTGAAACAGCCTGGTTCAACGTACAGCTGGAAAGCATTTCCTCCAATGCACTTGTCCAGGTACCAGAAACATGGATAGAAACGTTTCACATCACTCCCCTCAGCTCAACAACAGAAGCATTTGCTCCTTTGGGTTCAGGTCTAAACGCCTGCTCTTCATTTGTGACCTGATATTGTCCAGGTACAGAAGTATCTTGATGGTAATTGTGGAAACCAGTGTTAAACAGGAAAGAGGCACCACTTTGTCACTACAAACCCCTCACACCTGAGTCTATATTATCTGCCTGATTTCCCTAATAGCTGGAAATTGGATTAGAGAAATAATTGCTTATTTGGCTCTTCAGGTGGGAATCCTGTGCTTTAGAGCACTTCATTTATCTAGAGTGTCCCGTGAATATAATTTTACAAAACTGTGGGCTTACGGCCTGGCACCATAGTGGGTTTCAGTAGAAATAACATTTCTGTTACAGCCTTAAGCTCCAAAAAAAGACAAATTTATGCTTTAAATGTAATTGAGAAGATGAATTTATTTTAAAACCTCAATATTTGTGGAAGCTGATTAAGACTTCATAGGGAAAGCTGAGCCTGAGTACCTGATAATTCGTCCTTTTAAAATAAATCCACCAGGTAAGTCTCCTTAAGTTTTTGGAACTTTTCCACCCTGTCTGATTTCCTGGTACTTGTTCATACAGGTTTTGCCCTGTGAGCACACCTTTGATTAGCTGTGACATGACACCTTTCCTTTCAAATGAATCTATTTTGAAACTTCTTGTATTTAAAATCCATCTAGACTTCCTTCTTGGAAGGCTTTGGGATCCAATTCCTTCCTCGCTTGTTCCACTTAACTCAGTGTATTTGCTTCCACAGAAAAGATTACTGTTGGGTCTTGAGTGTCCAGAATTACCCCCATTTAACTAGGAAAGAAAAACATGTTTTACTCAGAAATGCTGAGTCATTCTCGATTTCCAGTTCGGACTGGGAAGAGAATGGAGGAATGCATTTTTAGAACTGCATCACAGAGCATGAGTGGCAATCCAAATAAAGGAAATTACTCCTTATTCATACGTATGTATACATAACCTGTATGAGATTTCAGTTCTCTTGTCAAGAGAGCAGAGAAAATCCTTTGCGCTTCCAAGCTCTCTTTGGCAGTCGTAGCATAATTTTAAATGAGTCTATCTCTTCCTTAACCCAGACATGTGGCACTAAATGTAACATCTGAATCGAAACTACTCCCTTTCCAGGACTGGAATCTGCTACCATCTGGATAGACTGAAGTGTTCATGACATGACTGGATTATCTGTATAGTGTTAAACATAGGGCTGTAAGGGCTCTCTGGTAAGAATACCCCTTCCATCTTGTTCCAATCAACAGGTGGCTTATGATTTGACCCTATTTCTTTTGAATACATTTTTGCCATAGATTGCAGATCCTTGTTTCAGCATTAATCATATACCTTGATTCCTTTATATTTTTTTTTATCCTTCTTATAAACTATGATTTTTGTTAGTCTCAAATAATTAATGAACTTCCATATCATGTGGCCTTCACATAACAAAATCCCCACAGGTATGCTGCTGACTTTCTGGGCTAACACACATTAGGTGAACCATGGTAGGTGCAAGACTCTTTATTTACTCTTAGCAAACCAGACATTTAAGATTCAGCACAGAAACGTTTGAACTTAAATGTTTTCCAAAATGTTTGTATCATTTAAACGTGGCACTAGCTGACTTTCTTAAGCCTTGGTTAGATGTCTCCGGGAGACCGGGTTACTGTACTACAAACTTGGATTTCGGTATTAAGCAGTGTTACTGATGGCTGGCACTGCTTAACAGAAGTAAAGTGACTAGGAGCCTGGTTTGCCAGCACCTGTATAAATCCAGAGAAAAATGGTGCTGTGTACCCTGTACTCCCTGCTGATATTTTCAGGCATAAGGGTGGAAATCAATTTGTAAACCTCCTTTTACGAAGTGCCTGGGAAAGCCAGCCAGGCGGTGGTCGAGTGGGGTTAAATTCACCCTATGCGTAGTCTCTCTTCCCTTCCAAAAAAACTTTTAGGGGTCAACCACTAAGAAACCACTGGCAGCCACCAGTCCGGGCCTGTCTCCACGGAAGAGTCGCGAACTGTCCCCGCGGGCCAAGAAACCTGGACGACGACAGGACTGCTCTTGCGGTGACGGTAACTCCGCGGCGATGGAAACGCTCGAGTCTTTACGCGGTTTCATCCGGGCGGGCGGGCGGGCGGGCCTGACCCCGGGACAGCGATCTCGTGTCAGGCAAGCGGGCGGGCGGCAGGCGCTGCCCCGGCTCCTTGCCCGCTGCCTCCCCGGGTTCGCTCCCAGCCGCCCCGCCTCCTGCCCCGACGGCCGCTCGCTCCTGCTCCTGCTCCCGCTCCTGCTCCCGCTCCTGCCCCGCCCCGCCCGCGCGGCCCTTCGCGCTGCCGGAGCGTCAGCGGGAATTTCCAGCCAGGAAGTGCGGCGGGCCGGGGGCAGGGGCGGAGGCTGCGCAGGCCGGTGCCGCTCGGCTGCCCTGGCCGGCGGGGCGGGCGGGGAAGACGGGGAAAGTCCGCGCCGAGCGGAGCAGAGCGGAGCCGGGGCGCGGGCGGCACGCCGCTTCCATGGCGCGGCGCTGAGGGACCCGCCGGCGGCACACCGACACCGCGACCTGCAGCAGCAGCAGGAGGAGGAGGAGGAGGCGCCGCCAGCCCTGCCCTGCCCCGGTGAGCCCCAGGCGGCCCCTGACCCGCCGCTCGCCGCTCGCTCTCTCCGCTGCCCGCTGGCTGCTCTCCCAGCTCGGGCTGCGCTGCGCTGGGCTGGGCTGGGCGGCGGCGGCGGCGGCGCGGGGAGCGCGGCAGCCCCCGGAGCGGAGGTTTGCCGGCGGGGAGCGCGTCCCCGGGAACAGCCCCGCGCCTGCCACCTCGGCCCGGGCGCGGAGCTCCCGCTGGAGCGCCGGGAGGAGCAGCCCCGGGATTCGCCCGCGCTCGGCGCGGCGGCGGCGGCGGCGAGCCGGGGGAGCGGGCGGGATGCCGGGCGGGGCTTTCCTGCTGGGATGGTACAGGGGGTCTTCCTGGCGAGAAGAGGGGTGTCTGTGACAGACACCTAAGGTGAAAAATTCTGAAAGCCCGAGCTGTGCTGACGGCGTGGCGGGTGCTCGTAGGGCGAAGGAGGTGCTGCTGCTTTTGTCAGTTTTGGTTTCGAAGGTGACACTCGTACGTGCTTCCACCTGAGAACCGGCCGGGAGTGCCCGCCGGGGCACGGCATCAGAACGTGGGTTTGGTACTGGCAAAGCTTCGGGTGTTCTCGTCTTGGGTGGTGCCCAAGAGTGTCGCAGACAGTGTTTTAAAAGAATCTGCTTTAAAAGGTAGGAAGTAGTGAGGTTTTTAAAGGTAATTTAGCAGTAAGTGATGAAACTGAAAAGTTCTCATCACGAGGAGAAGTGTTATTAGACTAATTGGTGTGTGACACTTGACTTAGAACCCAAGAATATCCAACTTCTCATCATCACAATTATTTTTTTTTTGCCTATTGATGCTTTGTGCTTTGACGGTAACTTTGGTAAAAAAGTGCTGTTGACGTTTTATGTGAACATAAAGTGGAGTATTATGTCTGTGACACATGCTATGTGTTGTTGGGCCATTATCATAATGCAGCATATTACTGTGTAATTTCATTCAAATAAGTGAATTTGAGTGCCTGTAAGCATTTGGGGAATAAGACTTAAGAGACAGGGGATCATCTGTTGTTTCAGCTTCCTGTTTTAAAACGCTCAAAATCTTTGCTTAAGAATAATATTTTAAAGGAAATACAGATTGTTATTATTTTTAAAAGTAGTTTTAAAGTGCTGATCATATTTGACATTTTGTGCTTCAGAAGTTCTCTTTTCAGTTACTCTGTTCAGAGAGAAAAGTGGATGAATTCTTTGCCTTGACACCTCGTGTCTTACATTCTGAGATGCTACACCACCACTGTCAAGCTCACAGAACAGAGCTGAAAATATAGCACTTTGATTTTACTGACATCTGGAGTCTCTGTGCTATGTACTGTGTAGTATCAACTTTTGCAATAGTGTTTCAGTCAAAGCAGTTCTATTCTCTCAGAAAAGAATTTAAAAGAATCTGCTTCCCCTTCTAGGAAAGCATTAACAGAGACGTCATTCTAAGATATCCTGTCTGCAATGTTTTGTAATCTACAGAAGTTACTACAGTTTAACTAAGAAAATGAAAGATGATAAAGCAGCCTGTAACCATCCAGAAGCAGATGCTCTGTTCTGCAAACTTCTCTGGCTCAAGAATTTAGCTAACAGTTATGCTGAAATATTATTGTCAGGATTTGCCACAGTTTGTGGAGATTTCAAGGAATCTCAGTGCTGAAATCTGTGCAAATAACTTAATCTGAAATATTTCTTTCCACCCTTTATAAGGAGAGAAATATCAGTCGGTGGTAGTCATCGAAAAATGGAGTCATTTTCTCATGCAAGAAATGAATACGCTGACTAGAGATAAGATTGTAAAATTGAGAACAGCTTTGTATCACTTTGCATCGTGTTGTGTGCTTTTAAACAACAGTGTTATAGCAGATAAACGTCATACCTGTGTTTGGTTCATTCTGGCAGCACCTTGGTAATGTTTTTGTAGTATTTATTTTTGAAATCAGAAAAGTTTGCTGGGAGAGAGAAAAAGAGAATCTTGGAAGAGGCTGACAGGGTGGAAAGCAGACAGAGATATTTCACTGATGTGCACATTTGAAAATTTCCTGCTTCATTTGTTGAAAAACAGCAGTTCTAATTGTTTCTCAGTTACTATGTATTTGACTTTAAAAATCAATTTTAATAATAAATTTAAATTTGCATTTTTTCATTGAAGTGGCATTACATGAATTCATTAGGATACCTACAAATAAATACCATTTATGCAAATTTGCTGATTTAATAGATTTTAGAGTTTCCTTTGCCCAAAAAATTCCCATGCCACTGTCACATGAATACATGCAAACTCCAGAAATACGTTCAGTTAGGAATTCATGTTGTTGTGTTTATTGCTGAGCCTGGAAGGATAGAAACTAAGTTTGAAGGCCTGTGAGCCTTTACTATCAAGAGTGCTTCTTATATACAAAGTAGATTTTGGATTTGAAGTTGCAAAGATACAGTGAAAGGCAATGTGTTTTTTACTAACTTACAGTTGGTTTTCTGATGCAGTGATGACGAAATTCTGTGGTCTTCAGAGATTCTGGTTAATTCTGTGTTTTCATAGATCGTTTCAAAATAACTTGCTAAGATATTTTCACCTATCAGTGCTGTTTGCCAACTCTGAATTCAAAAGTATCAGTCTTAAAGAAAATTGTTACTCATTTATGTAAAGAACTAATGACAACTCTAAAGTTAGCTAAAAAATCTTTTTTCTAACATGTTGATAGCTTTCTTTTGGTTCTCAGACAAAATAACAGCTGTTATGAGACAAAGAGGAAAGAATGTTTCAGGCAGATAATGAAAAACTAGTTGCTGGTTTTGGTCACTTTTAGCTCTGACACAGGTATTTTAGAAGTGGAAGTTGTCATTTGATGTCCTCTTAACAAGCTGTGAACCTTTTATGAAGTTCTACATTGATAAGATCATAATTACAGTTGCCATTAACTGTGCCCTTAGGTCAGTCAGGCACTAAGTTTGCATCCAACTTCGAGCATAGAAATAATTCACTGGATGTTCCTCAGTGCTTTCACTTAAACATATGTATTTTGCTGAAGCACTGTTGACAGTTTCAAAAGTAAGGCCTTAAAAGATGTTTCAAATTATTATTGTTTCAAGGTAAAATCCATTGTTTAGCATTTAAGTAAAGCTGACAATGTGTGGGGAGGAAGCTACTATTGCTGCTACTAGCATTATTTCCCCCTTTCAACTTTTATGTTCTTTTGAAAATTAGTGACACAGATAGTTTTTTTTTTTTCTTCATTTAAAATGCTAAACTGAAATATCTCTGTTTCATTGCATTCTTCAAGCAAATTGTACTGGTATCAACAGGTCAAGTGCACAGTAGGTCTGAGTTCTGTCGTGTTGGGGCTTTGTGTGTTGTTTTGGGGTTGTTTTGGTTTTTTGTTTGTTTGTGTTTGGTCCTTTTTTTTTTTTTTTTTTTTTTTTTTTTTTTTTTTTTTTTTTTTTTTTTTTTTTTTTTTTTTTTTTTTTTTTTTTTTTTTTTTTTTTTTTTTTTTTTTTTTTTTTTTTTTTTTTTTGGGTTTGGCTTTATTTTTTGTTTCTGCTAAAGATCATATTTCTGTTTAAACATGGACAGATTTTAACATACGAATGAAGTAAAAATGAAGTAAGCAGGTGATTTTTTTGGTCTCATTAGTTTACTCCAAGTGGGTTTTGTTGTGTCATAGGTTACTATAGAAAATTAAGACTGCAAGAGTTTTACCATTTCTTTGTAAAAAGCAAAAAAATTAGCCTTAGTAACCACTTTGCATTTATAGATTTGAAAACTAGGGTATAGCTGTGACAGTGCTGGACTCAGTTCGACCTGTTTGGTTCCACTTACTGGTGTTAGTAAATTGACTGTTTCTGTCACGTTATATTTTCAGTGGCTGTTTGGAACCTACAGGGCACTTTTGTGACTGCAGTGCTGAGAGCCCTTGATATTTATTGCCTGAGCCTTCTTCTGCCCCTGTTGTTCATGAAGTAAGGGACTGTCTTTAGTAAGACCCCAGGACTTGTGTAAGTGAACCTGGTGATAACAGGAAACCTTATGTCAACTAGACTTCTGAAATCTTGGGTTTACTTGTTACTTGGCTTCTCAGAAACACTGTTCTTCCCATGCTCCCCTCCCACCACTCTCCTCCTCCCCGCCCACCCCAAGAAAAGGGAAAAGTTTGAAGTTTAATATTGGTGATTCATGACACTTAAGGCTTATGCAATGGGTATGTGTGGCTTGTTAATTTAAAATTTTACTTTCATGAACAACTTCTTTATGAAATAGAACTATTTGTAAAGAACATGTCAGTCTTTTTTTTTTTTTTTTGATCTGTAGGAAAAGTAACAGCATTTTAACATGATATTCAGGTTAGTTCAAGCAGCATTAGCACCCCACGTGGCTAAAATACAGTGTAGTTACTAGAGCTGTTTTGCTGTGTTGAACCTCAGTATTTTTACATATACTTAGCATTACACATGTACCAGAATATGCTTGCCATATGTTTGAATACTGTTTATTCCTTTGGTTTAAGTCGCTTTGAATGTGTTTTAACAAAAACATTCTAACTTTATTCCAACAATATCGTGGAAAAACAGTTTATATGTTTATGGCATTTCAGTGTTTCCTCTTGACATACTGGTTCACTACTTTGATACTTGGGAAAGGAATAAAACAAAAGTTCTGTTTGCACAGATAATTAATAGAGCAACCATTCAGGTAGTCCAGTTACTCTTTGCCAAGTGAATTTTTTTATGCTATGATTTTTTTTCTTCAAATTTAGTAGTTACCTACTGTAATACATTTGATTCTAGACTTTGAATCATAAAATAATTTTACATCCAACAATTCTGATTTAGAGCATCACACTTTTGAAATCTCTTAAATATTTGTAATTAAGTTCTTAAATATTTTGTTGGTTTTATACTGTTGTTAAATAATGCATCTGCTCACAGCTGATAATATTTGAAAAATTTAAATTCAACAATTTTAAAATTTTAAAAATACACAGACACAACTGCCAGGTCCCACCCAACAGGAAA